TCTGGATCCTTGGCATCTGGACGACTTTTGTAGTAGTTTCAACAGGTTAGTCTTCTTCTAAATTAGTATATGTTATATTGTTTAGTCTATATGTAAGATTTGTGATCCTGAATGTAGCTTCCGTTGTACATATTTCAACAATTGGTAGCACGAGTCTTCTTACATATACTAAATAATGTAGTAAGATAATTCATGATTGATTGAATGTCTATATCATGATGCGTTACTGTTTAATATATGAATTCATTGTATCATAAATACGTTATTTTCTGTTTATGAATTTATGATTTGATGTTCTGTTCAATGATGAGATTGAAATAAATCACTGTTTATAATTCAAGTTTAAAAACAAAATGTTTCATGTATTGTTGATAATTGTTCATTATTCAGATCTTGTAAAACGAATTCATGTTTCATGTTCATTGAATTAATAGTTTGAGTAAGGTTTTTAAATATTGCCTGGATTCTGAATATTTAAAGTTCTATGAAATTTTTAAAGGAAACGGACAGCATGCCATGCTTGGCAAAAAGTTTTTTTTTCCTGACGAACTCCGATTGGCCTCAAATTTGGTTGGTTGATTGGAAACGACCCAGTGAGCAATACTCACTGCTTTGCTATGATCAAGGGCCTTTTTTGGCCATTCAGAGTCGTTTTGATGGGTTTTTGGCCATTTTTCTGTTTACGAAACATTAAAAAAATAAATTAAAAAATTGTTTTTAGTAATCCAGTGGCGTAAGGGTTCATCCCTAACACTTATAAATGTATTTTACAGTAAATATATGAGTTTATATGTTGACTTAGGTCCTCTTCCCCATAGGATAAACTCATATATTTTGATACTGTTTTGGTACGTCTTTTGCTTTGATGACTTGTTTAAAACTTTCCAACTAAGTTACATGTTGAATCAATGAACAAGAGACATAATCTATATCCATATATTCCTTATTTTACTTAACAGAATACTCTCTAATTGAGTTGGACTTGTTTTGTTTAATTGGTACTATATTTACACATGCTCATATATTTGCTTGAATAGTTAAGTTTCCCAATCGAATCTAACTGTTTATAGGCATGATTATGTGAGTCTTGTTGTGTTTTTTTAATAATATATCATGTATACTTAATGATCTATTTTATCTCTCTCAGATTAACTATGTCTCACTTCAATCCCCTTTCCTCAATCTTGAATCAAAATAAACTTAAGGGTCCAAACTATGTTGATTGGAAGTGAAATTTAGACATTGTCCTAACTTCTGAAGGTTATACATTTGTATTGGTTGAGGAATGTCCTATCAAATCAGCAGATCCTACTGATGAGGAAGTCCAAGCCTATGACAAATGGGTTAAGGCTGATAGATGGCAAGATGCTACATTCTTGCCTCAATGGCGAATGTCTTGCAGCATCAGCATCAGTCTATGACATCTGCTTACGATATGCTTGCATCTCTTAAGGAGATGTTTGGTGAGCAGAATCGTGTTGCAAAGCAGACTGCCATGAAAGCCCTTTTGACCACAAAAATGGCTAAAGGATCTTCTGTCAGAGAACATGTGCTGAAGTTGATGAATTACTTGAATGAGCTAGAGATACTTGGTGCTGAGATTGATAAGAAATCTCAAGTTGAGATGATCCTCCAGACTTTGCCGGACAGTTTTCAACAATTTCGCTTGAACTATAATATGAATAAGATGGACATGTCTTTAGCGAAATTGTTGAATGAGCTGCAAGCGGCAGAGACTATAATTAAGCAGCAAGCTCCCGCGGCATTCCTGGTTGACCAGGCTAGGCCGTCCTCTTCAAAACCAGCAAAATTCCAGAAGAAAAAGAAAAAGCCCCGCAAGGCTATGATACTCGAAGGTGCTAAGGATGGTGTGGCTAAGCTGAAAGGCAAGTGCTTTCATTGTAAGCAGCCTGGACACTATAAAAAAGCAATGCCCTGACTTTCAGGCTAAGATGAAAAACAAAGGTAACTCTTTTTTAAATGTCGTTGAAACCTGTTTAGCGGCTGTTTCTACCCAATTATGGGCTGTAGATTCAGGAGCCACTGATCATATTTGCACTTCTTTGCAGGGGTTTCAGGAAACGCGGCGGCTAAATAAGGATGAAGTTGGTGTTTTCCAAGTGAATGGGGAGTCCAACACCAGCCTTAGCTATTGGAATAATTTCATTTTCATTTAGTAGTTCTAGACTTTTAGTTTTGAATTAATGTTTTATATGTTCCTTCTATTAGAAGGAATTTATTGTCTGTTTCTAAACTAATGGATGATGGTTATGATGTTCACTTTGCGAATAACTCTGCTGTTATTAAGTGTAATTAATTTTTTTATCCTTAGTGCTCCCAAAATACATGATTTATTTGTTTTAAAATTTCCATAACATGCTTCAACAAACTGCACTAAATAACATTGTTGTTTCGAATAAAAGAAAACATATTTCTCAATTGAGTCCAACTTATTTATGGCACTTACGTCTATGTCATATTAATATAAATAGGATTTCACGGTTGGTTACAGATGGACCTTTGAGTTCATTGAAAGTGGAGGCACTACCAACCTGTGAATCTTGTTTAGAAGGTAAAATGACAAGGAGACCTTTCCCTTCTAAAGGAAATAGAGCCAATAATAAGTTAGAATTAATTCATTCTGATTTGTGCAGCCCAATGAATATACAAGCAAGAGGTGGTTTTGAGTATTTTGTGACTTTCACAGATGATTACTCCAACTATGGATACATTTATTTGTTGCGACGAAAATCTGAATGCTTTGAAAAACTCAAAGCATTTAAGATTGAAACAGAAAAGCGACATGATAAACATATCCAAACATTACGATCGGTGTTTTCCAAGTGAATGGGGAGCCAACACCAGCCTTAGCTATTGGAATAATTTCATTTTCATTTAGTAGTTCTAGACTTTTAGTTTTGAATAATGTTTTATATGTTCCTTCTATAAGAAGGAATTTATTGTCTGTTTCTAAACTAATGGATGATGGTTATGATGTTCACTTTGCGAATAACTCTGCTGTTATTAAGTGTAATAACTTTTTTATCCTTAGTGCTCCCAAAATACATGATTTATTTGTGTTTAAAATTTTCCATAACATGCTTCAACAAACTGCACTAAATAACATTGTTGTTTCGAATAAAAGAAAACATATTTCTCAATTGAGTCCAACTTATTTATGGCACTTACGTTTATGTCATATTAATATAAATAGGATTTCACGGTTGGTTACAGATGGACCTTTGAGTTCATTGAAAGTGGAGGCACTACCAACCTGTGAATCTTGTTTAGAAGGTAAAATGACAAAGAGACCTTTCCCTTCTAAAGGAAATAGAGCCAATAATAAGTTAGAATTAATTCATTCTGATTTGTGCGGCCCAATGAATATACAAGCAAGAGGTGGTTTTGAGTATTTTGTGACTTTCACAGATGATTACTCCAAATATGGATACATTTATTTGTTGCGACGAAAATCTGAATGCTTTGAAAAATTCAAAGAATTTAAGATTGAAACGGAAAAGCGACATGATAAACATATCCAAACATTACGATCTGATCGTGGTGGTGAATACCTTTCTGCAGAATTCATTAAGTACTTATCAGAATCAGGAATTACTTCTCAATATTCTGCCCCAGGAACACCTCAACAAAACGGTGTGGCAGAACGTAGAAATAGAACTCTTTTGGAAATGGTTAGATCAATGTTAAGTTATTCTTATTTGCCTTTTACGTTTTGGGGATATGCCTTAGAAACTGTGAATTATATTTTGAATTTGGTTCCTTCAAAATTTGTACCTTTAACCCCATCCGAATTGTGGAATTGGCGAAAGCCTAGCCTACGACATATTCGAGTTTGGGGTTGTCCAGCTCATGTGCTAAAAGGAAAAACAGATAAGTTAGAATCTAGAACAGAAGTATTCATTTTTATTGGATATCCAAAAGGCACTAAAGAAGGTTTATTTTACTGTCCTAAGGATCAAAAGGTAATTGTATCAACAAATGCCAAGTTTCTTGAACAGGACTATTTAATGAACCATGTTCGTAGAAGTAAACTTGTGTTACAAGAACTGTCCAAAAGAATAACGAGTAATGAATCGACAAAACAAATTCCATACACAGTTATTGACATTCCTTTACGACCATGTAGTGGGAGAAATGTCCATAGGCAAGAAATTGCACC